TTGTATAATTTTTTTATTAAATACAAACAATCAAAATACATTACATAAAATCACTCATACGTCTTAATTCTCTTAAATCTAATCGATTCTTATTTCGTCTTGCTCGACGTATAATAATCGTAGCAGGTACAATAAATGTTATAAAAAACAAAATAGTACCAAGTGAAACACTAATAAAACATACAATAAATTGTTGATTTGGCCATATTGGTAATAAATCTTTCGATGATATTAAAACTTTCTCCTTTGTTGAATTGGTATCATCATGAATCGGAATTCTTTCTTAAGAAATAAAACAAAAAAAAAAAAATTAAAATCTTGATTCATTCTAAAATTTACCGTGTGAATGAACAGTACAATATAAGCAACAATTCAATATAAGAATACACATAACCAATTGAGAATTCCACATATGAACGTAATTATTTGTACCACCAGAAAAAAATGTGGCAGCTGTCACTATGTTTAATAAATATAGATTTGATCGACATCTCCCAGTATATAAATTTCCTTGTTTTTTTTTTTCTTCTTTTTCTTTCCTTGTGATATACACAATTTGCAAAACGATTAGTGGTCTGTAATGTTCAGTAAAATAATAATGGAAATGATCTATATCTTACTTCTGTCAAGTAACATTCGATAAATGTCAGAGTCATAAAAATCAATCTATAACGCTTTTCCATAGTACGAGTTCAGATAAATAGCATATGAATATTGAAAGAAAAAATGAATTTTAACAAATGGATATACATAATCACATTAAAAGATTCTAATTATTTGATTCTACTAAAACAAAAAATTAGATTCTTAATCGATTCATTTTCAAAAAATAGATGAATTTAATGGAATTGTAAAAAATCAGATAGTTAAACAAATGTTAACAAAAGCATTATCTTTGTTGTTCTTAAAATTACTGTGGTCGTGAAAATGAAAAACATTTACTATGGGAATGATTTTCTTCACACTATAAAATATAATATTCATTAGAAATTCTATTTTACAAAAGACATAAAAACAAAATTCAATGACATGTAATCCTTGAGGATTGATAATGTACATATGCGCATATACTCATGAGAATTAAACATCGTTAGTCACAGAATGCAAAGAACAGATATCAGTCATATTGTAAATAGTTCTTCTATTCCAGTGTTTATATAATATGTAAAATGTCGATACTGACAATTATAACGGTTCAAGAAAATTTAGGAAGTGTTAATAGACAAATTTAAATGATAAAAGTAATAATAAATAGGAAAGTTTTTTTTACAGATCGAAAAACTTGGAGAATGTCTATTTGGTTTTATTCGAGAAATTTTCAACAAAGAAATATTTATAAAACTAGCAGAGTATGATTTTCAATGGGTATTTTAGAATAATCTCAGCTATCTATGTATTGATATATTTTTAACAAGAAACACGTCTAATACTTCAATTGCAACAGTATCAGTAAAAACAATTTCATCATAACTTTCCTTTGAAGGGTTTTGACTACTAACATAATTCGAGATTTGTGAGATCACAAAAAAGAGAAGTTTCAAGTACCAAGACCAGAATAAAAAACGAAAGAAGGCTGTCCGAACCGGAACTCAAAATTGTACGGAGTTAAATATTGTATGTTGTGATACTGAAAATTATAAATTCTAGTAATCAAAACAAAATTTTTAAGAGACAAACATGAAAAAATGACACTAGTTGATTGAATAAATGAAAAAATCGAGTATTTAGAAGTTTTCTAAGCAATAAATTCTCTAGATCAGACCTAAGACTGAAATTGATATCCAAAGAAACGATTATCAACCGAATTGGGACTTATAGTCAGGACTACTTAAAAAGAAGTTAGTCAAATTAAGACTAAAATAAGTTGGTCTTGTACATCTGTGAACATTGACCATTCGGATATACGAACACTTTTCTATCTATACTACTATTAATTTTGTACTCGTATTGACGTAGAAACATTAAAAAAAAACATTTTTTTTTTACAAATGAAAGCATAGTCAGTTTCATATTTATTAATAACCACATAAATTTTGTTCCTATTTATGGTTTAATACAACACATAGACAATATCAGACACAATAAATTGAGAGAGAGAGAGAGAGAGAGAGTAAAAAAAAATAATAATCTATCTGACAAAAAAAAAACAAGCTTAAATCGAAGCATGTTTACAATTTAAATAAGCAAGAAGATCATTCTTATCTGATTTAATATCTTTTTTATTTTTATCAAATAAATGAAATTGATTTTGTATTTGACGTGATAAACTAGCAAATGAATGATCATTATTATTATCATCATCACCACTTGGTAGATGATTACCAGTTAAAAATGTTTCTTCTAAATAACAAAAAAAAAAAAACAACTTCATTTTTTTTTTAATTCTTAAAAACAAAATATTTTTTACCTAATGAATTTTGTGTAATAATATTCCATGAATATAATTCTATATGAAATGGTTGTTGAACCCAATCATGTTTTTCAATTTCATGCATTGTTAAACGATGATAGGGTTGACGAATAAGTGTAGATGTAAATAAATCATAAAGTTCTTCTGAAATACGTGATTGTAAAAATTTTAAATCTAATTGACATCGTTTTATTTCATCAGGATTTAAAAATGGATATCGACGAAATATAATTACATATAATGTTACCATCATAGCCCATATATCAGCTAGAAATGGTTGACAACTATTTAAATAAAAGAAAAAAAAAATTTTTTTTTGTACGAAAAAAAAGCAACAATAAATTAAACCTTCCAGTTTGAAAAAATTCCGGACAACAAAATTCAGTTGTACCACCAAAATTACTTGTATACATATCTGATTGAGTTATAGATATTGCTGAACCTAAATAATGACAAAAAAAAAATCTAATATGAAAATTTCCCTATGAAGACTTAATTAATATACCGAAATCAATAAGTTTTATATGAAATTGTTCATTGATTATTAAATTTTCATCTTTAATATCTTGATGAGCAATATGATTACAATGTAAATAACTCACCGCATCGACTACCTAAAAATATTTCATTGAATGTTGTTTTCTTTTTCTCATAAAACTCGTACCTGTCGGAAAATATAACTTGCCAATGGTTCATCAATTTTGGCACCTTTTTCAATAAATTCGTATAAATCAATGCCATGACCATGTAAGGGCATTACCATTTGAACATAATTCTCGGTATCGAATGCATCTAAAATCTAAATAAAATCAATTATTTAATCACTATTCAATAAATATTTACAATGATTCAATTAGATCTCTTTCATTTATTGTTTATTAGATATTCATACTAATCAACTGATTAAAAATCCATGTCGTACAATACATAGAA